ATTAAAAATAAAAAACCCTGAGATAAAAGGGTTGAAATACATTTACCACACCTCCCCAGAACCACTCACGATAACGCTTGACATAGCACTAGTTAATCCAAAATACTGACACACGTGGGTGATTTGACATATGATAATGAGGCTCCCGTACACAAAGATGGCGGATAAAAATTTAAAAATTGTGAAATCCGGACGTGACGTCGCATGCAAACCAAGACTTCCTAAGTTCAGCTAGACTAGAATAAATCCTTATTTCACAGAGGAGCAATTGCTGACGAACCTGCTTCCTGTACACAAACATGGCCGGTAAAAATTGTAAAATCCGGACGTGACGTCGCGTGCAAACCAAGAATTCATAAATTCAGCTAGACTACAGTAAATCCTTATTTCGCAGAAGAGCAATTGCTGACCAAACCTGCTTGCATGTTGCCCTATTTCTATTTGGACGCCTGTAATAGTATCGAAGCTGGAGCTTATTCCCCAGTCATAATCACCGAAATGCTCTGTTTTGCTTGCGTCGTCCTATTGGTTGTTGTTATCTGCTGTATGATCATACTCTACAACATGGTAAAAATCATCCGACCATCAGGGAATGAAAGAGCTCGTGTGGAGTACGCCAGAGAAAATCAGAGAGTCTTACCAGTAGAGGGGGAACCCACACTTTCTTTTCCTCGAGTAGAGGAAAGCGCAAGACAACATTGTACATGTAACAATACAACCTACGGCGGATTACAAGCGATACGACGACAGCCACAAATGCATGACGAACGTTTTAGGAGGCAACGTAAGAAAAATTTACTTTGTCTTATACAAAACTTGAAAGTTAAGTTTTTCTTTTTTTCTTCGCTTCCTCGAACTATTTTGTGTTTTGTTTTCTTTCTTGGCTTTTCACGAAAGCCGAAAGTTTCCTTCTGGCGGAGGTTGGGAGCCAAAATAACAACTCGTGCCAGCAATCCAGCGAAAATTCACAAAAAGACATACATACACTTTCTATGTACCGTACATGTTCAATAAGAATACTGCTTAGAGGGTACTTGAAATCAAGATGTTGATAAGAAAATTCTTTTATTACTGTTTCCTTAACGTTCATAAATTTCACCATATTCAGAGCTACAGTTTACTACTGAAGACGCCGTGGACTTGCCTGAGTAGGCTTACTAAGGTAAAAAGGTCTCTAAGATATCATAGCCTTGAGATTACATGCTTTGTTACATTGTGCCATTCATTCGGAAGATCCTCAAAATCAAAGTTCCTTTCTGTTATCACTTCGGCCGATAGGATTCTAGATGACTCGGAAAATATTACCAGCCAGGCGGTAGTCTTGTGTCTTTACTACATCTCTATGCAGTCTTACACCACACCAAAACCACTCGAAGTATATACAGGTACATTTTCATTTTGTGTGCTCTGAATAGACACTACAAATAGTTCCTGGAACCCCTCGGTGTTCTTTCTGAACGGTAGGATTTACGCACAATTGTGTACCTCTTTCCATCCAAAGTAGGTGTAAT